TTTGTCCGAATTCTATTTAAATGTGTTTGTATAATAACACTAAATTGTGATAAAATAAATTAGATATTCTTTCTTATATATATTCATACAAATATTTGCGCATTATCTTTTATAGTTTCGATTTAAGAATCAATTTTATATAACAAAAATATGACATCATTTAATAAAGGAATAACGAAATTTGTACATCACAAAAAATATAAATTCTAAATTATCACTTAGAAAATAAAATAAATATTTTTAAAATAAATTTATATTGCTACCTCTAATTTGGCACTAAAATATATATTATATATACATATATAAATATATATATATATAAGTATATATAAATAATAAAATTAATTTCTCGTATTCAATTCCTAAATAAATTTTTTACATTGAATTTATTTTTACTGTAAATATATTATAATATATACCTATAAAAAAATCTTATACTAACTCTCCGTTTAATACATTACGTTTAGTATTGACTATACTTTTACTTTGTATTATTTAACTGTATATGTGTGTGTGTGTGTGTGTGTGTGTGTGTGTGTGTGTGTGTGTGTGTATGTACATATATAATATGCATACATCTATGTAAACCATTGACTTTACATTTCATCACAATATTCTGTTTACGCATCTGCGATCTTAGACACATTTATGTTTTTATAAAATGCTAATAACGTAACATGACAGCCAAGAGAAATATAACTCCTTACAATGTAAAATAATGATAAAATAGAATACAGCAAATAACATTTTCTATACACAATTTTAACAACAATATATATTGTATATAATTCTATTTATAGAATCAAAATCTCTAACAAGCAGAATAAGATGTAAAATAAAGATAATAATAATCAATTTGAAATATAGCAAATAGGAAAAGTTTTACTTGGCAGTTACTGTCTTTTAACTTAGCGCAATAATACAACAAAGAAAATTACAAAAGGTTCATCAGCTGTACATAGAAGCTATAGTTTTGCAGAATATCTCCATTAGATAGTTTAGATCCATTATTAGAACTGTAACGTTCACAAATGTTAACATTTTTGTAATGAATCTGGATATGGAGATAATCCGCGAAACGCATAGCTTCTGTATAGAAAGTACCTGTGGAAGTCTCAAAAATATATATTAGGTTCATTAATCTACTTAATCAAATACAACAGACGATTATATAAAAATAATATACCATTATTTCTGATTGTCTAATTCGTAACTCTTCTCAAAACGTTTGAAAGCAATGTATTAATATACATATATTTTATTTGTGTCCGTACCATAAAATATTTCATAGATAATATAATACAAATGGAATGTGTAAAAAAATGTTGTATGCTCTTCAAACTACATGAAATAATAAATAGAACTCTTGATTGGAGTACATTACTATACAGTAATATTATGAGAGAGAATTTTAGTAGACTATTTAATAGAATATATTATAATTATATCTTATAATTATTATTAACTAATCACTTTCGTATATCCTAAATTTACTGTAATCCTTAATAAGTAATTTATTGTCCATCATGGAACATTACCTAACTCTATTTATTGTCTGCTCACACAGTATTGTCGGTTATTTAAATATATAATCCATTTTTACAACTAAACTGTTGTCTGGATACTAAGGAAGACAGTTATTGTCTGAGTTATTTCTTATTGTCTGAAAGTTCCTGTATTATTAAGGTCATTTTCAGATGTCTTAAATACACCAATAAATGAGTAGATCCATCTTTAGATAATAAATCTGGAAAATTGTATTTACTATCATCAAATGTTTTTCATATACCAAAAGGCATTCTTTTCTTATGTAAAAAAATTGTTTTTAAATATCATTTGCTTTATATGCATTACAAACAGTATTAATCACTATAATTTTATTAAGACGAGACAGAAAATTGTATTCTTTTTATTCATAAATGACGAGAAGAAAGTTTGATGAAAAAGGAATAGAGCAGGAATCGCGTTTATAACAAGCGAGTAAATAAAAACGGCTCGCAAATAAATCGAGCTAAATATCAATTGTCATCGTGACCAACAATACTGTTCGTCTTACTGCTTAGAAATGGTATAAGTCAATTAGTAAGACTCCTAAATAACATATCTTATACAAAATATACTCATTGAAAAACGATTTTTTTATAGTGCAGATAAAAAATGTGCTGGTGCAGAGTATTGTCCCTAGAATTCAGTCAACATGTTTTTTACGTCTATATATAGCGCTACGAACACTCTATTTTCTACAAGCCTCTATGCTTAGGTACTTTATATTGTAACATATTATATATTACTTTATATTATACCATATTATATACGTATAACAACTTACGTACAATTTACTTATACCTGATGCACGTACGAATATTTCAATTAGAATACGGCAGGCTGAGCAAGAGTATACAATGTTAAGTTTTTTACTCCTAATTATATCCTTTTCACAAAAAATGATAACAGTAATCAATTTAAAATAGATAGGTGTATGCACTATCATAATACTAAAATAAGTTCAACGTATATCTCGTTTATTTTATTCAAAAATTTTGTAAGTTTTACGAATATGTAGAAAATCCTAGACACATTCTTATCGTATGCACAGAAAAGGTTTATATCATAATAATGAATTAAAAATGTCTCAAATATTCGTAACAAATATCAAAATTTATACGTGATACCCAAATAATAATAGCAATGACAGTAAGATATACTTACTTAAATTTTCTCTTATTTAAATCGTTAATTTTTCATTAGCTCAGCCTATCATCGAGACTTCTTGCATACCATACTTTTCTGTGAAATAAGTGTTGCAAAACGACGAACCTGACAAACGAAATTACGCCAATAATTGAGTTTAGACTGCGACGCTATTTCTCATCGAGTAACGTTTGCAGTGAGATATACGATGAAAATACATGCTACTATTCGTCATGGCAGTTCTTCCATCTTCAATTCGTATGTACATCAGCATTCCCGTAATACTGTATCTGTCTCAAACATACATATGCGTAAATATGAATCATGATGTTGAATCGCATGATTTCAAAATTTATGACGTCCAAGAGCCATAGCACATAAATAAAACGTAAACAGTAAGAAAATCAACATATTGGACTGAACTATTACTACTGAACTAACTACTTATATTATTACGATCTTGAGGCCCTTTGACCAATTCGTTTACTGCTTACGTTTTATTGCTTAAATTTTTTATGTGCCATGGTTCTAATGAAAATGTACAGTATGCAACAATGTCCCTGTTATGTCTATATGTTTATACGTGCGACTATAGTTTTAGGTGCCTTGCACGCGCTCTTAAAACGAACGTTATTATAGATAACTGACTACATCGCAATATACATTTACATCGATAAGCACATAGACATTTTCTTTGTTTCTTAGGATATATTGTCATTTCGTATGCGCATTATTTAAAATATTCGCGCGATGGTACAGTAATGCATTTCATGCAATACGTGTACGACATTTTACCCGTAAGGGGTGTGCGCTTAACTCGTTCCTTTACAAAAATACAGTTTATCGATTATATTGTATGTATATATAATGTGCTTTCGTTAGCATATACGTTTTCTTCATCTTAATAGTACATACTAAATTATATAACTTCTGATAATATTATCTGTGTAGATATCTGTGTAGTACTATGTATATCACAAACCATCGAAAAGCGTTTAGCTTTTCTTTTCAAATATAAATGTGCGATATATCAACGAAAGCGCTATTTCAAAAGAATATAATCCTCCTCTATTTGTATGAGGATTGTTCGTAAATCACAGATTTTCTATGATTGCCTACAAATCTATAAGTCGTTTGAGATAGAATAGCAGTATAAGTCAAATTATTCGCATTTTAAGAAATAAAAGGATTTCTGAAAGAGAGATATTTAATAAGAATATAATTGCTTTATTATATTTTCTTAATTCCAGCAAAAATCATTACGTTTCTATAATGGAAAAAAAAGATTTTAAATTGAGACTCATAAAACGGGGGAATATAACAATAGATGTCATGTTTTTCTAAGGAATGTACAATATTCATACTGCTTATACCACTGAAACGACTCATATCATTGAATGCCGCCGTTAAACGCACACCCTATATAGATTAAAAGTTACCACTTGGTGGCTCATACACGGCTGTCTTAAAGTCGGCAGCGATACAAAATATTTTTTGTCGCATCACATGCGTCGATTTTCGTTTTGTGCACAAATCCTCAATTTTTTTATTATTTCAGTAGGTACCAAAAGTACATACATCGGCATTTTTGATCCTTTCTTTTATCTAGTAGTTTCCTAGAAAATGGCTTATTACTTGAACTTATATATAGGTACGTAAATATCCTCAGTATCTGTATAATAGCTTCATTTATAAATTAGTGTATCCTATATGTTTCCGATTATCTTACATTTCTCTTGTTCGAATGACTTATCATAAAATCTTCTTACGAAAAATCGCAAAGTGGTGAAATTTCGTATTAATTGGACGAGCTATGACTGAGAATTGTGGTAGCAAATATCAATATTCAAACATATTGATGATAAAATCCGATTTTTCTATAATTATTTGTCCACAATGTGAGAAAATAGTTTACCTGCTACTGTGACCTGTTGTAATTGGTAGACTTAATTGAATTACTCTTACAACGAGGAAAAATTCCGTTGGTATTCATCGTCCAGCATCCCTTAGCTTAGCTAATGTTCATGATTATCAGTGATTTTTATCAACTTTGTTTATCTGTGCTTACTAATCCTAAAGAATGAGATTAACGATCTGTTAATACTTAGCTCTCTTTTCTTCATTCAAAGCTGCTGCACGAGGTGTATACAAAATACTATCCTTTGATTGAGCGACAGAAATCGCTGAGCGAAAATTAGCAGATCGAGAACTCATAATTTCAGTATCTTCTTCTTCCAATATATGTCATTAAATGAAAACGCGAAAGTCCGCATTTACTTCGTCTTACATTTTTCCCTCTTTTTCGCTTGATTTGTTTCTACGTTGCTGATTTTTACATCGAATATTTTATCCAACTCGGTGCCTTACAGTTTTCCATTACTTCTACTGTTATACTCGGAGTACTTAGACATTTCTTTTTGGATCCACGTTACGTATTTGGGTACGTAAGCGTAGACTCCAGGCAGTTTTGGATGAGCGCATTTTATGCCCCAGCTAACAATTCCGCCAACGTACCATCTATCCTTATCTTCCTTATCTTGACATAACAGAGGTCCTCCAGAATCGCCCTTGAAAAAAATGAATAATTCATAATTATTGTCATATTTATTTGCAAAAATTATAGTAACAAATAACGTGACATATTTTTGGACATAAATATTCTGAGAGCAACATATTATAAAAACTAACTGTATGTGTGAAAAACTAATTTTTCACATATACTATATACAAATGCGCATGTTATTAAATGCGATATTTAGATATTTTAATAATATTTTGCAGATGTGCGATATTTAAGGTGATCCAAAAATTAATATAATGCAGTTAAGTTTGAATAATAACCCAGTGAGAAATGATAATGGAATCGATATCGATTTGATGTCGATTCCATTATCATTTTTCACTGGGAACATCTACTGTAGTTCTATAAAATCACATTGAAAATTAATTCTCGATTCGCAATACATATAATAATATTATTTTTATAATCAACGGAGAATACACAAATGTTTTAATTGTTTAGGTTTTAGATAATTTACTTGGCATGCATCTTTTCCTCCATCCGCATAGCCAGCGCAGATCATTCCATCGGTGACATTCAATTCTTTATGCGCTAACCATGAATTACAGAGATGTCGAGGCAGAATAGGAACTACAACCTCGTTTACGGCTGGCTCATATTCAGAGGCTGAAATTAACCGACGAAATAATAATTGAATTTAATTTACAAAGATTTTCTTTCTGAATCGAGCTCGCTATTTGAAACAATTTAACATTTGAATGAACTATACAAATTGAGAACTTATTATTTCTTATTCATACTTCTTTGACTTCAGTTATAAAAGATAAGAAAAGAGCTTATTACATGTTCTTTCGAAGTTTATATCTTAATGATTGTTATATCATGTTATATTAAATTGGTACTATTGTTAATTTGCGTATATCATAAATTAAGATTGCAAGTAAATATTTTCTAAGGAAAGTTTTTTCATGTACGAATGATACTTACAATCGGTATCGTTTTTCTTGCCCCATCCAATAACAGTACAATTTGTATCGGGTGTAAGATTAGTGTCAGCAGTCGGTAAGCACACCGGTCTCAGATGTTCATGATACTGAACTCGCTTCTCAAGCTGCAATTAATACGAGGTATTGCATGAAAAAAATATTAAATTTAAAACAATATTCAAATTAGAATAAAAATCATCATTTTATAGTACAGATTTTTTAACTTTTTTTTTACTAGAACTCGACTTATTTTTCAATATAATCTTCTTTTAAAAAGTTATTTATCAAACTGCCCATATATACGTTATAAACAGAAGATTCAAATATTTCGTATAATAATTAAATAACACAAATAAATAAAAAGGGCGTAGTTAAAGTTGGATAATATTGATTTGTAATATTTTTACGTATTATATACATATACGTAATATATTTACGTAATTTAAGTAATAAACTTGAAAATATATTTACTTGAAACAAAGCGACATCATTGTCGTGAGCAACATCCAGGTTGTAATACGGGTGAGGTATGACTCTTTTAACTTTCAGTTTTTGACCGAGATAAGTATGAGAAAGTCTTCTAGTAATGCCAAGCTGTATCGTCCAACCGGATATCTCTGAATGACTGAAATCATCGTTTTATATAGAGAATTAATTCATATTTAAAAATTTCCATTAGTTTTTATTAATACATAATAAATAAAGAAATTATTTTTAATGATATTTTCCTTACATACGTAAGCAATTCGTCAATAATTGAAAGTAACATTTTTTTGAAATGTCTCGATTTTACACATTACTTACTTCCCAACGCAATGAGATGCGGTCAGCACCCATTGATCAGCAATAAGAACTCCGGCACAGTAGAAGATCTGTTCTGGACCGCCAAGAAGGGCTGCAAGAAATGGCCAATCACCAGGAGCTGACTCCACACCACCCACTATTCGCTTCACCCTCACGTTTCCGTATACAGAACGTCTGCGGCCGCAAGCTGCAACAGAATCGATCATCTCACGTCGTAAAGAAAGCCCGGGAGAACTATAGAAATTTTTAATTCAACGGTTTCTTTATACAGTTTTCCAATAATTTACCATAATCGACGCAAGTAAGTTTGACCATGGGATAAGGCTCTCGATCCTTGATGCATCCTTGAAATTGCTTCAGTAAATTTTTGTTACGGTATTCAGAACTTAACACGATTGATAATGAGTCATTCATCAGCTTAGTTCCGTTTGATACTCTGAAAATGCAATTAAAAGTGTTATTTTTTATACATCGTAACAATTTTTTGTACATCGCATTTTTTTATTCGAGAAGATGACAGAACATTGTTAACATTAGACGTAAAATTAATAAGCTAAAATCAATTACATATGTACATAAATGTTTCTCAACGTATCTCATCTCTCAAAGTATAATCGTTTGAATATACAATTAAGGATTTATGAAGTTGTTACGACGCATAAATGTGCGATCTAATGCGATTGCGAACATAGCACGTTTATATCATCACGTAATATTTATGTTCTATGTTATTTGACATATTAAGAGAGATAACTTACGTTCCCTTGTATCCCAGCATAGCGCAAACCTCTTGCGGCGACGTTGTCGGTTCCCAGTGCGAGACACATGCTGGCATAAATTTACCCATTTCAGCATGATATACCTCTAGACGGCCCTCGCCGACATCCCCGTTCCTATGGCTTAATTTCACTAAAAAACAAGATGCAGTACGAAACATGAAATTTGAAAGCCGCATAGACATTCTAGAACTGAAAATTATAATTTACATTTCTTTTTAAATTATTCAGACATTTTAAATTATTCAGGTATTGTATTATCGCGATACTTAATTTATTCATATATTACTTGATTACATGTATTGATCGAGACAGCGTATCAGTTGAATAAGCGAAAATATTTTGTACTACTTTCGAGAAAACCGTAAAGTGACATGTACGAACGGTTACTTTATTTTATCCGTAAAAAAATATATATAATATCTCTAATAATAAAATTTCTTTTACAAATTGTCAGCGACATTTTATTATATAATATAAAAGTATAAAAGAGATTACAGGTCCAATTTTAAGTCGATTAAAAATATAATCAGTATATGAAAAAAAAACGGAAAAAATAATATATTAAGGAGATATTCTAGTCTAGAACTTAAAAAATATCAACTTTTGTTATTTTATACTTCTTTTTAATAATTAAAAATTTCAAAAATAAGTTTCTACAAGATTATCGATATTCGTGAAAATAACGAAGAATATAAGTAGTTTTATAAATTATAACGCATTTTTGCATTTGATGCTCTGTCATTGTATTTAAAGGCAGCTATTAACAAGCGTAGACTAAAAATGAAAAATATGAGCATTTTGAATTAGAGAATGTTTGTGATATGGCTCCGGTATTGCCAATTAGAGATATACTTCTATTTTTTATACTATGTACTGAGATTATTGCAGTATCTACAAAAATTAATTATTTTTCTATAAAGTTAAATTCAACAATTTTGTTAAAAAATCGATATTTGTCTTTAAAATCAGTGCCATTTTAACAATTTATAATATTTTTCACTTTTCCAAGTTTAGACTATATAGCTACACTCATAATAACTAAAAATCCTTTTAAATTTTTTATATTCCTTTCATAAGTTGGAAGGCTGCAGCGATGAAGACTCCGCTTTTACACTTTGTTTTTTAAATTAACATAATATAAAAATTAGTAAACTTTACCCACACTAAAATTATATATATTTACTAAATCTACAGTACAAATAGATATAATAAAACCATACAAGAATATATGCAGCAGTTTTCTTTAAAAATATTCTCAAAAAAAGGATACATTTTCGTGTCCTGGACTAAAGTATTCTCAATAATAGAATTAACTAACAGCAGTCTAATTGAAAAGAACCCTATCAGCTCAATAATATTAATGAAACAAGTACATCATGCTCTTGCCTTAATAAAATATTATTTATTCATTAATATTGTTATTAAAAATTAACAAGATTATTTTTAAGTAGATTGATATTAATATTATTTTTTTCCGCATATTTACTTACGACAATATCGCTCATCCTGCCCCCAAGGACAATCCATGACTCCATCGCAGATATGGCTGGCTGACATGCACCTTCTTTCACCGCAGTGTAACGAAGATTTTGTAGAAAGGGTACTTTTAGTCGAAGATCCCTTACTTAAGACTATTTGGCCAAACGCGGAAGACACCGGCTCCGAAGATGTGGTGGAATTACAATTCCCGCAACCGATCTCATCGCTGTGATCGGAGCAGTCGAGATGACCGTCGCATCGCCAATCGAACGGAATGCACCTTGTGCCATCGCATTGAAAACCACTGGTGCACACTGTATAAACGAATCGGAGCATAATGGAGATCACGTGCTTTCTAGCAATTGATGTAATATAGTTTCTAAACGATAAAAAAAAGTATATAAAATTACAAGTGTAAATATCATATTTATAAAATAATTGATTTTATAAAGGATTTATAAAATACATATATACCTACTTTATTTTTCGTAAAATTTTATATACTTTTTTAGTGTATGCTGCATCCTCAATTAATTGATTATTTACTTTAATTAACAAATTTCTAATAAATAATAATTATTTGTCTCTATTTAATTAATTTATTTTAATTAACTGATTTATTTATTAATAAATGTTAATCGAAATTTTTACTGTATGTATATCAGATATGAAATAAATAATAATAGCCCAGAACGCGATTAATTGAACAAGAATTTAATTGTAGACAAAACGTTTGATATTACTTATATTATAATGGGAATAAATAAAATAGCAGTGTAACAATATATATTATGCTATTCCAAAAAAGCAACATGAAAATATAAAATAATATCAGCAGACTATGCTAAAAATTACGAAAACATATACCAAACATTCCATAGAGATATTAACATTATCGACATTCTTTATCCTAGCATCCTGTCTTTCGCAATATGTCTTCTCTTGCGATGGACACGATTGATCCTGCGCTTGCGGTTCGATACTTTCGCACATATGCGTTAAACATGATATGTACACATGCATCAAGCGCGACTCAATAAAGCTGCTTGGCGCCGCAGATGGGCCGTCACATACGATAGTTTAATATGGATTTTGTAATTAAGATTCCATCAGCGGTGACACATGCGATAGCTTGGGTATACAAAATCGCGATATAGCCCCGCATGTGCGAACACGTATGCGTACATATAGGATGTCGCTGAATCTCTTTTGTAATTACAACATGCACAGATGTGCTGACTTCAGTGTATCTCAACTGTACACATGACGTACTGGATAACAGAAAGATGTTTTGACGAAAGTTTCCTATTGTATAAATATTGCTACCTTCAGGTTACGTCATAATAATCTCAAGAATTTAAATCCATTTACGAATGCATATTTAGGAAATTCGATTCGATTAAACATTATTAAACAGACAAAATTATTAAACAAGCACAACCGATACTGTTACATAAATCGCTAATTACGTTCAAAGAGAGCTAATGAAATAAGAAAATTAAATCGGAAGTTATCATCGCCGAAAAGCGAAATATATATAGCTTCGAAAGAAAGCAAAAAGAAAAAAAATCCAGAAATAACCATCCAAATCTTGAGAATGTGTTGCATTTATTCGACTGAATGGACTTCGTAATTACAATGCAATTCGATCTTAATTAACCGTAGACGCGGATGAATCTCTCTCTCTTTCTCTCTCTTTCTCTCTCTTTCTCTCTCTCTCTCTCAGCGGACGCGATCCACCAATCGCGAATTAAATTCACCGCGAGACGAGAGACGAGTACTTCCGATCAATCCTGTCACCACGCCTGTCGCCGCGATTTACGTAATATTTGCTTTGGAAATTGCAGTGCGCGCGTGTACGTGATCGTTTAATTCTCTCTTCTCTCTTCTCTCGCGTGAACTATTCTACGAGATTTTAAGCGCCGTTATCGCGCTCGTTATGCGTATGACATGCACGCGACGATTTTTAAAATTCAATGAATAACGTTTTAAAAACTTCGAAGATATATTCCTCTTGTTATATCATTCCTTAAACAGTTGTGTCATAATATTCCCAACAAACTGAAACTACTTTATAGAAATAAAAGAAAAATGACACATTGTTTAAAAGCTGTCTCTGTTATAAATGATTTGCTATCCGCATTACAATTAATCACTATAAATAGCTGTACTATTGCTATTATTTGACATAAAAAGATGAGTTTTTTTATATCGTTTGTTACTATATTGAATTATAAATAAAAGAAATTATGTAATTATTCCATTATTGATTTGATTTAAAAAATTTTATTTGAAAAGCAGGGTTGGGTAGTGCTAAGTTAAAAAGATAAAAGTTAAGGTAAAAAGTTAAAAAGTTAATTAATTTTAACTTAACTTAGTTAAAAAAAAAGTTAACTTACCCAACCCTGTTGAAAAGTAATTCATTTATATTATATCTTATACACATACATTAAACTATCTTTATATTTTGACTTAATTTTTGTTTCTAAATAAGAAAGGTTTTTTTCGAAAATTGTAATATCGAAAATCGTCAAAATAAGATTAAATTTCCACAGGAAGGAAAGTTTCGAAGAACAAATCAATCGGATCCAGGAAATTTCATGAAAGCCAAAGTGACAATAGAATATGGAAAACATAAATGAGAGGGGAAGACAAAGAGAGAGAAAACCGAGCGTAAACAGAGTCCAAGATATCAAAGGAAGAATGAACAATGGACATCAAGTTAGTTAACAATTAGTTCCGTTTTGTGGTCGCATCCTATATTTAATGTCCGCGCGCAAATCGGCGTGAAACAAAAGGACAGAAAACTCATAAATAATATTACGTTCCATAACGTTTCGCGTAAAGGCACACAATACACAAAACCGTATTGTGCAATGGAATCTCAGTGTTGGTGCATCATGATAAACGCTGCTTAATCACGCTGACATTTTGAACGAGATAAATTTTATAAGACATTATCTGAATATAAAATTAATATAAATTATTTGAATTATCTGAATATAAAATGTTTATGTGTATTATTATTCTTAATTTAAAATAATTTAAGTAGAATATTAAATTATTTTTAAAATAATTTACTAATTATTAGAAAGTAGAATATTAAGTTATTTTTAAAATAATTTACTAATTATTAGAAAAATAATGATACACAAAAATTATTTCTCAGCACGAACAATATTTCGCAGCGGAAAATAACCAGGAATAACATACATATTTTTCTCAACGGTAGAACTGTTCGAACGCTACTCTTTAAATCCATTAGATTTTAGAGCATCAACGAAAGTATGAAAAGCTTATTTTTCTATGGCATATATCCTCTGAATCATCCAATCCAAAGAGAATGTTTTAATCCTTTAATTATTAAGTTCCGGATAATTCAAGTACTTGCTTTTATTTGCGATAAGCTCATTTCCGTTCCTGTTAGTTGATTAAATAATACATTTGTCTTTTTTGCATTGTATTAACGTAATGAAAGAACTATAATCGATTCTTGATTAATCTAATAGAAAATTTAATTAAACGTTGAAAATAAAATTAATGCAATCGATTTTGTAAGCTGTGCGAAAATAGCGCAAGCTGGAAGTTAAATTGTCAAATTTAGTGTCACTTACCCGGTTTTTCGGCTCTCCTTGCCGCTTCGATCACCTCATGGTGCCCGATGCACTCATCGGAACTCGGATTTTCCGGGAAAAGTTCGCACTCCAAATAATCCGGGAGAGACAAACCGAAAACTTTCAGAAAAAAACCGCAGCGTCTTTTGGTTTCTGAAATTGATTCAGAAAAAATTCGTCACTCGCGATCAAGATCGAAATATCACATAGTTCGTGTTATTCAAAATTTGAAGAAATTGACGATTTAGCGGCGCAAAATTCAGTACAATAATTTTACCATAGATTTACATGTCGAACAGTAAAATCGAATGCTATTAAGGCCCACGCGTATTAACCAGTATTACTGTTGTAATGCAACTATACGCGGCTTATGCTTGCAATTTATGGTTTGTCGAGCATTAATAATATACCATATTAATCCATATTCTGATAATAAATAATTTAACAATATTAAATCTCAAGTAATTTATATTACATAAAAACGCGAAAAACATTTGAATATTGCATTAATATTGCGATAAAATTAAAATAATTGTAAAATGAAAAAATAGTTAAATAAAAACAAAATAAATTTTAAATTAAATAATAAGATAGAGTAACAAATAATTTATACTTACGATAGCAGAGGCTACGACAAGGACGTACAACGCGACCACGATAGCCGCATTTCGGTACGAAAACGCTACAAAGGAATAGAGCAGCTAGTTCATAACATCTGACGTCAACGACAGCATCGTAAAGCTCCAATTCGTGCTGGGCCTCTCGCTGTCCGAAATTGCCCATGTAATTTGGAAACACAGTATAGTTGTACGGAACCTACGATAGAAATTGCGATTACGCATCAAATTCATGCCTCAAAATTATATCGTCAGTGTAAATTACACTTTGTGCAATTTACATATATCCAACAAGATATTTTTTATGCAATTAAGAAATAAGCAAGAATGTTAATGATGAAGAAAGTAATTCACATCTATAATCTGAGATTATAGTACAAATAAGATAATGAAAATTGATATTCTCAAAATTTCATTATGAGCAACTTATTAGAATCAATATATGAAAATCTAGATCAATATTTTTGCTATCAAATTCTAATACTAAAATTTCAATTTGATATCAAATTTTTAATGATTAACAAAATTCGATCATGTGAATCCCGGTCGTTACTGTGTTCAAAATTTTTCCTTTTAAATTCTTTAATGACAACGCTCTCGCGATCTTTATCGCTGCTCAATCTCGTTCTTACAATCAGACACGTACATTCTCAGAAAAATTCAGAATGCACGACTGCACAGTGAGTGCCTTATGAATTTTAAAACACACATTGTTCAAGCACGAGCCATTGAAATAGAGGGGAAAAAGTAAGTAGAAAATGTATTCAGGAGCGCGGACTCATCGAAATTACGACCGTCAACGGGTGCTTGTAATGTCCGTAAGGACATTTCGCCGCAGAAGGGAGAAAGTAACGTTGTCACTCTTACTCGTCGGTATTCTAGTGCGGAGCGGCAAGTGGCATGGTTACAATGCTGCATACCGGAGCGAATTCCCTTATGCCGCCTACTCGCACATTCCGCGTATAAAATTATTTTAAATTCTTTAAAGGCGGCCAAGCCTCTTTCGAGGAAAACGTAATACGTATCATCGTGAACAAGCAGCTTTCTGGCGCTACAAGCCGCTAAAATGCGTTGAATATTCCGAGAATATATATTCGCATGAATTCCAGAGTTTAACAAGCCTTCTCTTTCTCTTTGATACTCCTAACATTTCAGCAGCATTTTACATAAAATAATCGAATATTTTACAATAATCGTAAAAATGCAATTGGTTCAGAGAATTTAAATTTACTAAATATTTTACATTCGACACAAATTTGTTCGATCTTGGTGTCGATTCGCGTGACAATGTACGCTTATAACAGAAATTTTACAACTGTTACCTTGTGCTGTTGGCAGAAAGTTACGATGATGGGTAGACACACTCCCGGAGCCGGATTCTTGTCTTCGATTATGAAACGCGTACTTTCAGGTATCGGGATCACAGCCGTGTATATGGTTCTATTCTCCAATTTGAGATCGTTTTCAGGGTAGGCTAGTTTAGAAAAGAATATGGACATTGATACGAAGAAAACGTATTCATGAACAACGATGCCGCGTACCTATCATCGTCGTGTTTTATTTTAATGTTGTCGATTAAAGAACATAGTCACACTGAGCATATAAATTAAATTATTTGACATATTAGCTCGACTATCACATATCACATTCAAATAAAAAAAATATCAATATACCACCGTGTTGAAAACGGTCATGTTCCGGGTGTCTAGCGAGTGCAGAAGGGATGTGTACGTTGCAAACTTTTGTAGTTATTAACGTGTCAACTGCAGACACGCGGCACTCACACCGCGATAATTATTACTCGGTTTGCATTTAATTTCAAACCAAGGATTGAAAATATAAAAAATGTTTATTGCATATTTTTTTCATTTTATATAATAATTAAAATAAAATTCGATTGGTAAACACATCGATATGATGTAATCAGTCTATATAATCTTTTGGTATATTATATAACAGAGTTATTATCGTTATAACTTGTTATTACTGATATGTTACTTTACTGAAACCATATTAATATGTAAAATTGAAGCTTTTACTAATACGATTGCGATTTATATTTTAAAAGAAAAATTAAGGAAAGTAAAATATATATAAATGAAACTTGAATCAGTTGCTTTAATTAATCATATTATTATGTGAATCAATTTATGTGTTATTTCTTTCTTATAATTTCTCTCATAAAATGTGAGAATGCTACGAATCTAACTGATTTATTAATACTGGCATTCAGTAATATAATGACAGTAATACTGGGATAATACCAGTATTATCGAAAAATTATGTACGCATGTGCTATGAAAATTCCGGTTATACACGAATATTTCCCGCAATATCAGTATTATTAAAGATTTTCAATTCACAATTTTATAAAAATAAAAGTATTTACGATATGTAATTACTGTTATTTCGATATTCAATGCTTATTTTAAATAATGATGACGTAATCATTTTGCTTTGCACTTTTGAAATTGACACAACTTGTCGACTGCAAATTCAATGTGCATGAAATATTTATTTAATAGAAAAATAAAAGATATAAGATTTTAAAAACATGAAAAGAATTCTATGAGTCTTTCATTTGTTATCGAAATAATGTCGGCATTTGAAATCAAGTGGATTACAAGAACTCATGGTGCTATTGATCTTTCGGTCTCACTGGTCTCTCGCAGAGCTTGTTGTTGCATATGCACGTATATTAAAGCGTTCGGAGGGTTTAACAAGCAGTTTATTTCGGTTTATTCCGGTTAAATACCAGGCGTGGTTATTTGCGTCGCGATGTTTTTCAACTTTACTTGCACCATTTTCCTTGCCGGAAAAACAACCGCATTTTTAACGCTGCACATATTTCGACGGTATTAAAATTTTCGATTCTTTTAAATTTTGATAATGCAAATTTAAAACCGTTCGATATTGCGTCAAAAACATTTCAATTGCACTTAAATTGAGAGAAATGCTTACTTTTGAAGTATGCGGCTAAACCGCCGGCGATAGCCAAGAGAGCAACAGCATTAAGCAAAACCTGCACAAATCTGAAACGTAATCTTCCCGTTGTCACGTAGTGGCTGCCAGTCATGTCTCTGATTATCTAAGCAAACATAAAAAATTCAGAATATGTGCTTTTGTAAAATGCACGCCACAACAAATAAAAAAACAGGTGCGACATGAAGCTCTAAATCTGTGATTTTATATTTAAATGTCTAATTTTATGATGTAAGAACACATATAACGAATGCCTCATATTTTTATCTCTTCGTCTGTGCTGACGAAAGTGACGCTACATTTAAACGCTTACTTTATGATGCAAGGAACTGTTGTTCCCAGCATGCATCCTGACGATAGTCTGCAAACTGGCTGGCGTGCTCGTAGACTTTGTTATCGGTCTGCCAGATGAGTTATCAGGTTCCGACACCAAGGCTCTGTCTAGAAAGCGTTATAAAGTCTAGAAGTTCAGGAACTGATTTCTTTAGTGTCAATTTATCAATAAGTTGTGACTCTTTTAAGATACAAATTTTACAAATCAAGAAGAAAAACGGAGAGTATACGAGATGCAGCTTTCTACGGATGAATTTCGTGATAAGAAAATTTTTATTTCTTATTCCTCTCGGATAAACTGTTTTAATGGTAACGTAGCGACGAGAAAGAAAAAAGAAAACAAGACGACGCGATAGAACAGAAAAAGCTTTCCTTCTCGTCTCAGCTGTCGCGCTTTGCCTCGACGTTTATTTGTCGTTCTCAAGAAAATGCCTTGAGCTTCGCTACAGAGATGGAATATAAAGAAGAAATTTTACTTTGTGAGATATATCCCCGTTATCGTTAGTTACGTCATAAAACACGTCTTCCTTATATTTTAATCTTTTATAACCGGATTTAATTTTCATGGATAAACTGATATTATAAATATTACGTTCCCATTTTAATATTACCACAATTTATATTATAGAATTTTATTGAAATTCCCCAAAGATATAGTTTGCTAACTGTAATGATGAACTGCGTTGAATGTTGCGAAGAACTATGCGAAGTATTATTGCAAAGTGAGAGGAAGGGAGCTTTATGTTATATCTATCTTGAAAAGCGAAGATTTAAAAAACAACTTCTAAATGTCGCAGAAAAGGTAACGATGTCATTATAATCAAAAAATTCTATCAAAAAGATCTTTTGCGAGCAAATAATTCCTAAAATGCAGAATCAAATTGTAAAGTTTCTTCGAAAATTACAAGAAGATTGATTTATGGAATATTCACTCACAAATTGCTTATTAAATCAAGTAAGATTGGAAATTTATGCTCTAAAATTTCGAGATCGAAAATTATCTTTATTATATGCAATCATAAAAATCGACGTAACTTTATCATATCTAGAATATTTAAATCCTTTTCTGTATGTAAAGCAGAAGTCGTATTCAACGATTTTTTTCCTAGTGCTTCTGTTAGTTCTTCGCTAACAATAACAACCATGCGGTAAGCTTTGGCGAAGTTTTAACATACCTGGGACTTTTCCGTGCTTATGAGGCAGAAGGGGGGCTTCCATTGTCTTGCTAGTGTAGCTAGGCGAGCTGGTTTGACTGAAACTGTCTGAGGAAACGTTACTGTCCTGCCGGACGCTGATAGGTTTTGGTACGGGACTCTGACAAATGGCGCTCAGGGGTGGTGGTAGATTCGTCTGTGTTGCTTTTGGCAATTTCTCGAGTTTCTCGTTACCAGTTCGCTCCTTTCTCAGATTATGCTGAAGAATATTTCTAGCCCTTTCCATGTCGCTTTCGTATTTGCTTCGCATTATTGGATGCTGTTGTTGCTGTTCCAAAGCCCTCTGTTCACCGTGATAACGTTTGTCGAGATCGTGTGGAATTCCTTCCAAGTCCTCGTATCTAAACATAATGAATCGCATGTTTACATTTACTGCGGGTTAATTAACTCATTACTGCGGGTCAATTAACTCATTACTACGTCATTACTGCGCCGTACAAGCGTTTTCAAACGAGAATTATGAAATTATATCTATTTGACGTACAAGGAACGTAAGAAGGAAGTTACATGGAGGCATGTTACCTGGGTGGCTTGTCCTTATTTATCCGTCTGTCCATCTCCTGACGTCGACGGTATTCGTCGTCCTCATGCAAACGCCTCTCTAGATTCTTCGAGGCGACCTGCAAATCCTCGAACTTCGATCGTCGTTCGCGGCCGGAAGTCAAAATCGTTGCGTACTTTAATTCATCTTTTTGAAAAATCTCCCTTCGCGGTAACGCCATTTCTTCCCTAGGCTTGCTTTCGGATGTTTCTTTCTGTTCGCAGCTGCCAGATTCGTTCTCTTTCGTAAATTTTGATAATTGCTGTCTATATGAAAAGGAGAGAACTCCTGGTGAGCATCCAAGTTAAAATCACGTTATTTCTTGTATCACGTAATGATTGCGTTTCTACAATCATTATTAGAAACGTTAGATTTCCATAAATTGCAATATTTAATATCACTTAGTTTGTAAATATTAAAAAATATTAAAGAATATTATTTCTCAACTGAAAGAGTCGAGCAATTAATTTCTCATATTAAAAACGTCACTTATGTAGAAAATAATCGCTGAGAATAAAAAGATGATTCATAATACTTCGTCGTAAACAAATATTTATGTACATAAATACGTAATAATAAATAAACGCTCCCAAAAAATATTGCGCTGTTACTCTCTCCATGACATGCGATTTATATTCTAAACTAAACTAAAAATTCTAAACAAGAGAGAACTGTCCGAGTTTTCTCATCTCAGATTCACCGGAAATGGAATCTGACCTTACGCTTCGTTTAACGAACCTATCATGAGTGTAATCGTCTGTAACATCTCGCTGTAGTTCGAAACAACATATTACCAACTTGTATTTGAATACAGCAATGCATGGCAAAATTTTGCATTCAAGTACTTTTAACGGACTATTGAAAATAAGTACTCGGCGCTGAGCTGATGGCAGTGACAGATTATTTACACAAAAGCGCGTAGTATACTCAATCGTTTTTTCGAGAAAGATTTAAAAAATATAGAATCGCATATAAATAACATATGTTTATTACCTATTGTGTCGTGACATCGTGCCCAACTGTCGTTGACGGCCATTCGGATCCTCGAACTTTGCCTCGGCGCTTTTAATAATTCTTTCGTGAAGCCGTTTTTCAAGATCCAAGGAGACCTTTTGCAATTCCTCGAAACTTGAATTTTGGGTGAGCTTATGTCCTTCCTGGAAATTCGCTTGTTCGAAATCAGCCACAAAATCGTTATGCTCTTTCGTTTCCCGCGAGTCCTTCCCGCTATAATTCACCAAGTAATCCTGCAACTCGTCGAAAATTCGTATAAATGAACTCCATTTTGAATAAAATAATAATTTTGATATAATCAGGGTGTTTTGAATCGATTAATTCGTGTTTAAGACAACAAATCAATAGACATTTAGTGTCACTCAAGAAAAAGAAAGATACAAGACGTCTACTTGTTCGTTTAATTTAATTCTTTTATTAATAAGTGAATTACTTTTAGAATGTAGATAATATTTAATCTTTTTTTATTTAGTATCCATATTATTAGAAAAATATGTTTCTAATGATTACATAAGTATAAAGATGCCGTTTTGCATTTCATAACTTAATTTAAGCTTAATCATAGAAAGATATTAATAATTATACTCGTATTATTTCTAGTTTATTAGTTTTAAAAGGATTTAGCTGAAAATATGATATAAGATAGTTACTATACCTGTGACGCCTGATTATGATTTCTGAAAGAACATAAATCTATAAGTTTTCGATTCGACGAGTCAACGCTGTTCCACGCAGCCGACATTCCTGCCGAAGGTGCGGACGAAGGATCACTTGTCTTGCAAGGAGTCACTTGATTACTCTGCCTGATTGTGAGCTGCAGCGGTATAGGTTTTTCGTTCTTGCTTCTCTTCGGAATCGCCGGCGGCCTCAATGGAATCGGGGGTGGTGCTACCTATGTCAAGAATAAAGCACGATTTTTATCTCCATGCTTTTACTCTAATTGTAAGCTGCATAAAAAGAGATCTCGTTATTTGATAGAAACTTAAATACTGAGAATTATATCAATCTTACTTATTACACCGATATCAAGTAATATAAATTAGAAAATTTAATAAAACATATACCATATATTTGAAAATTAATGGTTAAACTATCGTTCTGTCAAATTTAAATTTCCCGTAACTGGTTTACTCTTATTTTAATTTTCGTATTATTTTCAGTATAATTTTTTAATAACTTTTGCTTTTGAAGAAAAATTTTATATTTTCTTTGACTAGACAAAAATTAATTAAACGTGGAAGCACTATTTCGAAACGAGAATTTTCACTGGCAACTGGTGATTTGCGTAAATTGACGTGAAAGTTACGTGCAAAGTTACAACGCTTATCATCGCTCGAAGACAAGCATCAAGTTTAACTGCCTTGTTGACAAACGTAAAGCAACACGCAAGTTCATTAGCTTCAAGCATTTATCGTCGATAAACTCTCTTCGCGTGAATCATGCTTTAATACCTCGAGTACTTTCAATGACTTTAGCAAAATCCTTTCAACAGCTTGACATTTTAAGTATCATTATAATTCCCGAATTTATCGATAAAAACTTGACTGATATTAATTAACGCAAAATTTTATATATTAAATAGATTTTAATTTTCAATAATAAACCCGGTAATTATGTAATTATATATAATATATTGTACATCTAATATATAAATATTTATAAAATATTTCTTACATAAAAAATTTCCATGCAAAGCAGCCAGTTATATAGCAATATTTATTATTTATTTAATTAAATTATTAAGATCTTTAATGATTACGAAGATTTAAATTAAAACGCAAATCTAAGAGTATAAATAATGTCTATATTTTAGTATAAATAATGTCTATATAAATAATTAAATTGTTTATTTCTATTAAATTACATTAAAATCAAACAGCAAAAGTACTTAAAGTTACGAAAATAGTAATTAATACTTGCAACGTTAATCAATGCTATGTTGTGTGTGTCCAATGTGTGTCCAGTGTGTGTTGAAGATGTTATGTATCTATCACAACGCCGAATTGCAATTTGTAGATTTTTCTTTTCTGCCAAATCAGGAATCATTATTTAATTTTAGCTTAAAGGCAAGTTTTAGACAAATTTCAAATTATATTAGATTAATCTAAAGTTTTCCGCATAATATCCTATATACGTCTAAAATTTTTCTAAAGTTTACATAATGAAATTTAAAAAACGTACGAAACATATCGTATGTTTACATACACAAATAGTCTGTGTACTATTTATACTTATATTTTATATTTATTGGGCAATAACATGTATATTATTTGTAGACATAATGATGAGTGTATTATTATAACACGATTAATTGTCGCAAAAAATGCATTTTACATTTTTGTACTCATCTTTTTCTTCATAAAAATCTTTTTGGCACAGGATTCCAATTTTGTCGGACAGTTTTCTCATACGCTGATATTAATTCGCAAAGTAGCGGCGTACCACTAACTACCGGGCTTTAGTCGTGTGATTTAAGGTGTCGAGATTATGTGGTACGCTGGGATACCGCCCATGCGGTAACTTTCCAAACTTATACCTGCGTAGGAGGAGATACAAAGTTCGAAAATCCTTTTAGTATCTCCCACCTCGCCAACTTTACTTTTCCCCCTAAATCATTCTAGTAACTTTCTCTTTAATGTCTCTCAATTGTCCAATATATATACAATATTGCAAATATTACAATAGCTGACAAACTATGAATATATGCATTGGTAAGTAATACTAATTAATATATTTTGTAACAGGTGCGTATAATCAGCATTGCTAGTATACGTATAATAACATTTTATATTAAGTAATCTTTAGTTATAGATAAATTGTATCTATATTTTGTCTTTTCACACAGATTTTTAACATCTTTCCAACATTAAAAATATTTAAAAAATATCAACAAAATTTTTGTGCTGTTTCAATTTTTAAAGTTTTCACTTTTTCTCATGTCACTATGTTATTAATATAACAATAAACAAGAGAAAAATATCTTTGTTTAATAGTTTTTAATATAGTTTTATAAAAATTATATATACTTTTTATCACATTTATGTCGTTACGATTTGCTTTACTAAATGATTTGCGCAATGAGTGTTGAGTGAAATGTATTATTTGTGAAATGTGCCGAGATATTTGTTAGATAAGACTAATTTCAAACAATTCAAATTGATTAAAAATAAAACATGTATAAAAGTATCATACCTATAAATCGCGCCTAAATAGAACACTAATTCACTAGACTAAAGATAGCTAGAAACAAATAAAATTTATTACCGCCGGCGTGGCAGAATGTCGGCGTGGTATTGGCGGCGGTACGTCATTTCCGGTGCGTGGTGGTTCCGGAAGCAGAGAAGTTTTAGTTGGCAAACCGACGCTATGAATTCTGCTCTCCCTAAATTATAAAATAAATTACTATTCAACTATCTTTGGTTATTTTTTTTCGATTTTACAATATATTTGAAAATTATTGAAGATAGTATGAAACATAAGAAAATAAATTAGTAATTTAATGTTTAAACATACTTACAAGTACCTAGATGTAATTAATTCAAAGTAAAATATATAACATATAATTATGATCATATTAAAGGATATCAATTGTCTTATTTTATTAGTTTCTTTTAATTTTAAAGGACGACTTGTCATTTATTCATTTATGGTTACTTATAGATGTTGTAAGATATACATGTCAGATAAGATAGCGGAAAATCGAAAACAATAAATTGTTGAAAAATGCATCATTTCATTTTCGTATAAAAAAAAATATATGTACTTTTATGTCATGTGTTTATTGTGCATGTTAAAAATGTTAAAACAATATAATATCATATGAAGTTTGTTAGTCACGATATTTCATTTTTCGCTACAATTATATGTAAATTTTATTTTATATATAATCAACGCATTAATTGTTGTTGTTATATAAAAATAATTAAAACCAATGTTTGTGGAATGACCAACGCAAATTGTTTTTCCTGTTCAAAAACTCTCAATGTTATACACTTCTATGTTTCTGCATTCACACTGAAACTTCGTAATAGCGAATCTCGAAATAGCGCACAAAATCCCTTCCATACGCGCAAGATACATATGCATAGCATAAGTGGGGATATCGATAGAATCGCGTAGCAACACATATTTACGCATGTCTATTGCTAATGTGTTATCATTAGCTGCGCCCTAGTGACTGGGAAAGACATGTTCGTGTAAATTTCATGCAAAATTATCAACTGTGCTCTAGTGATTAGAAAGGACATGTGCAGATTTCGTGCAAAATTATCATATTCACATGTCCATTTTTTACAAGGGCTAATATTTTGGAAAAACAAAAAAATTTTGATATATAAAAACAACGTTTTACATAAAATAATACATTTTACATAAAGTAAATTACATAAAATAATACGTGAATGTAAATAAAATAATCTGTAGACATGGCCCTACTTCTTGTCAGTGTTTAGACACGTTATATCGTCTCTAAACACTGACAAGAAGTAATATCGATTTTTCTCTCGTCGCATTGTCTCCAATATTTCTAACTGAGAATTCGATAACATAACTTAAGAAAACATGCATTGATCAATCTTTTTGGACATTTCAACTATCAGCAAGACACAAATACCAATATCAGTTTTTAATAATCATGCGTCGACTATGTCCACGTTAGCGTTTCAAACAATTAGAGAGAGCGAAGTATTTTTATAATTTGTATATAATTTTTCTTTATTCTATTCAATCCTTCATGTAATTTTTCATTATATTTGTTTTATCATACTGACTAATTTATATAAACATTGATAATGATCCGATCGCGATCGAAACGTTTGTTTTTCTATTAAAGTTTATAATATTTTTAACGTAATGATATAATTGTTTATTTTCCACTTTTAAATTATAACGATTGATTTTTGGTTCGTAGCCCTTTTTCTTTGTTACGTTTTTTATAATATTATTGAAAAATGTGTCATTTGTTTTCGTGCGAAAAAGATATACGTACTTTTATGTCATATATATGCATTTATCGTGCACTTGCATATTAAAAATGTTATTGCATGTTAAAAATGTTACATAAAGAAATAAAATATCATATGTTAACTACACAAATATTGCGTTTTTCATTACAATTATATGTAAATACGCTAATTGCTGGTGTTATTATTATATAAGAGTAATGAAAACCAATTTCTGGGATAACCAAAACAAATTGTTCCTCTCGAGTTTTTTGGCTACGACCGACGCGATGATTAAAATCTTCTCGTAAATATTATACATGTCTACGTTTGTGCATTCATAACACGAAAATAATTAAAACAATGTAATTAAGATAATAAAGTATGCAAGCAATAAATATTAATGATTATCCTGTTTATTTTATTGTTTCTGTGATAATCTTCTTATTAAGAATTTCTAATTGTCAATAAATACATAAATATTTTGATGATATTCTTGAGACTTCCACGGGTGTTTCCTATATGAAAACCATGCGTTTCGCGAGTTTTCTCCGTGTCCAGATCCATTCTTAGAATGCCAACGTTTCGTGAATCTTGCAGTCCACTTCATCAAGGTGAGGAGCAGCCTGATATTGTATCAGGCAGTATCAGGCTGCTCCTCGCCCTGATGAAGTGGACTGCAAGGTTCACGAAACGTTGACATTCCAAGAATGGATCTGGACACGGAGAAAACCCGCGAAATGCATGATTTTCACATAAATATTTTGTACAATATTAATATATAGTTCTATGTATTTACATATTGTTATTATATTTTTATATGTATATTAATGTTTCTGTTATTGAAGTATACAGGACAAATATCTTAAAAGAGATGTTAAAATCCCAAATGTGAATATTGTAATATTATAGTAAGTAAAAAATTAACTCTTAAACTGAAAAATTGTTTTATGAACAACCGTATCCGATTGACACTCGCAATTGCTGCAATTTACGTGTTGTAATTAATGATCGTAAGAATTGCCATTAAAAGAGATTCAATTAAATGTTGATCTCATCATTAAGTGCTTTAAGCACCAAACGTTAAAGTTATACGTGACGAAATAATGATGCTATAACCGTTATGTCGTAAACATCTTATACCTCGTATTATTCGTTAAACAGACTTGTTAAAATATCTTTTTGCAACATTGAAATTTACCATTATTGTTTGCTATACATGGTTTTCAAAAATAAATAATAATTCACCATGCTTCGAGTAAATTTTTCGTGAAATTGAAGCAAATGCTCCTCGAAATGATTTCCTCATTCTTTTCCCGGTTTTGTTTCCATTTTCGTTTTCAACTTTAGCTTTCTTTTTGCTTCCGCAAGAGGATTCGGGTCAACTGCAAACTCCGTCCATGAGTCCGGATTAGCAAAAGCTGTGGCACAGAAGCTAATACGTCAGGTTCGATCAAAGCTTTACTATTGACTTCAAGCATACTGTTAACGCGGGAAGCACTGCATAGTGCATAATCTCGAGTCAGAAATTACAAGTTCTCATAACTTACTATATTCGATAAGATTATGAACAATAATTGCACATCCTTTTACATTCTAAATTTATATAAAAAAAGGAAAAAGAATATAAATAAGTTACATAGGCAGTAATAAATTGTGCCGACCAATTATATCTTTGTAAGAAATGAAGTGACAATTTCTCAGAGATTAGCCCATACATAGCCATGTCACCAAAGTTAGTAAAACAAACAAAATTGGAAATAGATCTGGAATATGAAGAAACATTTTTAACATAAAAAGAACATTATAAGAATCAATTTTGTAGCTAGTTATTATAAACAAATTATTTATTAGCCATAGACCTTAATAGGCTGATAAGATTTCAAGCATTATAACAAATATTATTCTTTCCAAAGATGACTTACATTAATTTTACATTTTTCATATAGCAAAGCTTATTGTATTTATGTCTCTCGCACAGAGAGGTGGACAGTACCATCCATGCAGTGGAAATAGATGAAGGTCGCTGATACCGTCATACGACTTCACATTTTTGGACCGTATTTCTTAAACAAAAGCTAAAAATGAAACATAAATACAAGCTAAAAAATGTCTTTTATCAGATAATATAGCAGTTTTTATAATATTGTTTGCAATTTTGCAATTATTTAATTTTTTTTAAGATAAGCACAAATAAGAATCTGACAAAATGGACCCCAAAACTGACACAGTGACAGTAATATGATATACTCCTATTCTTTTTCTTTCAATAGAAGTCACACAAGATATCTACGAGTGAATGTGTATGAGAATTTCTAGAATCCTTTCACTTCAATGTAAAAGATTTTTTGTTGATTTATATGTATATTTCATGATATTGGGCAAAACACAAACATGTAATGCGATAGTTTTTCTTGGAGGGTTTTCCCATAAATACAGGTGCCTTCAGTTCTGATAGAGTTATTTGACATAATATAACGCAACACTATATAAAGATTAAGTTAGCTTATGGTCAGTTACAGACAGGTTTTACTGCACCCTGATTTTAAAAATAAAGTTATTTAAAAATAAAATAAGAAAATATCTTAAAATATTTTAAAATATTTTTTAAAAACAAATATTTTAAATTTTAATATCGATTTTACAATTAATATTATTAATTAAATAATGTAATTTTTAAATTTTCTAATATTTTATTTTATAAAATATTTTATAAAAAAAATAACAAAAAGTATAAACGAATTTCTAAGTAACTGTACCTTCTAAGTAACGGTAATGCATTACGTTTATAAAGTTACCAGCCGTGCACAAATATACACATATATATAGGTATATTATATATAAAACACATAAATCATGTAAGCTTTATATTGATATTTTAATTGCTCTTCCTAAGTTGGATCGATTCAGCGGAAATGTTATAACCGCGACACATTTTCCTGGTGACATGACATAATGCGGCATTTCGTTACCGCAGAATGACCATTGCGAAGTCTGTATCTTCAGTGAAAGTATATCTTATACATCATCCGCACGCTCGTAACAACTCGCGGTTCTCGTGCACTAAGCTCGGACAATCGTATTATTATAATTAATGCATGGCAAGTTGTTATTTAAGTAGGGGCGGGAAAGAGAGAGAAGGAGACGAACCGCTAACTCGCTGTCTGATTAAATATCCCACTGCGTTTACACTAAATTAATTACTGACGTGCCTTGGAAAAGTTATACTTTCCACGAAATTCATGGCTCTCTCATTATCGTGGCACAAGTCGAACTCAAAATGGCGGAAAAGAGACGGCAAAACGAATTAAATTATGCTTTTCACTTTCTCGCAAACGAAATACGAATAGAGCTATTTCAGTTTTTAAAAGCATATAATTAACGTATAATACGTATAATTATGTCAAAATATTCTTACCTCGGTCGGCGTGTCGAGCTTGTATCATCGTCGCACGATTCCGTAGTAGACATGTTGTTTTCTGCAACACGCAAAGCAAAAATGCGCTTTTTGAAAGGATAGCAATGCGATAAATTATCAGCATTTATACAAAATAAATTTGAAAGATTGAAAGAAATTGTACCTATAATATTACGATATATAATTCCATCTTAATTTTTATGACCTGACATGTTAATATTACTAAAGTTGTATTACTAAAGTAGTACTAAAGTAATATTTCCGAAGTTACCACATTCTTTTCGATCGCATAAAACAATTTTTATAATTTACTTATTAAATACTCTTTCATCGAAAATGGCAAACTGATTAAAAATAATGCGTTTTATAATATATTGTACTTGAAGCTCTCTCTGTTGTAAGTATATCATAAATTGAAAATTATCAATCATCAACTGCATATACTTAACTATTATTAAGTGCAACTTATTACTATTATTCTTTCTTTCCATCTATATTGATCTTTGCGGTTTGTAGCCTTTAAACTTTTAAAAATTAACAATTGAGCTATTCTTTTTCAACACTGGCTCAATTGTCATTCTTTTTCACTCTTTAGAGATGATTACCACGCCAAAGATTTTAGAGAGTAAATTTCAATTCGAATAGCAGATACAAAAGAATTTAGTCAAATAGAAATGTAACAAGATATACAATATTTATGCGCTATGTGTGATTCGAGGTGTCGATATAGTGCAGATATACGCACAACATAATTTACGATCATTGCTTAGTATGACAAACGGGTCCAATCGCATGCACCGACATATCGGTTACGCGATATGCGGTTTCAAATCGATATAAATGCGACATCGTGCGCACGTGGTTGCTTCGATCGACTAGATTGGCCCTTTAACCAAATGGTCGGTCTGTAAACGATGACAGAGCTCTGGCTTTACCTCCCTATGTACCAAGTGAAAGCACTATTCAATTTCCTTTCATGTCTGTATATCTCAATGTACATACATAAGTCCTTCATATTTGGTTCAGAGACTCGGCTCTATCCGGTCCTCAATCTGCCGGGATCGATGGATCACTCTTGTTACACACATTTCCGTTTCAAATTCGACCGCTCATCATCACGTGGTTCTCATCTCGTTGCTCGGAAAGTAAATAGGAATCCGTTTTTGCAATAAAGAGATACGCGATGCGGTCGACCACAAGTAGATCACTTTTTACTTGATAAATTTAAAAAAAAATCTCTACCAGTACCGTTGTTATGACATTCTTCTAGAGTTATTGATTCTATAGTTATTTATTCTAGCTTGCTGATAAAAAAAAATAATATTTTATAGATGGCTAAGTTAATATTTCATTATATAATATTGTTACATGAGAGAGCGCTTAGATTAAAATAGATTTTTTATATATTATAAGAAAAAAAATTCAGAAAAAGTACACAATTTTGTAAAAGCCTTACTGATTATTATTATAAATGCATAATATTTATAAATCTCTCTATACTGTAAAAATTTTTATAACTCATTAATTGAGAGCAAGAGTTATTTAATTTTGTTTAGATTGCAAAATAGCAAAATTAAATTATTTAGTCATCAAGGTAGTTAAATTCTTTATTTCAAATAATAGCATCGAATATATATATTATCTACTGATTTTCAAAATAAAATCAACAAAAATTACGTAAATGCAAAAGAAAGAACGTAAATTACATGCTTCAAAATAATTATAAACAATTTTTATTCACGTTTTTAACTAATATATAATAAAATTTAAATATAATATCTAATGTACAACAATTATAAAAATCTGTGTCATATCTATTCGAATATGTTTGCATTCCAAGATCCATTGTACAAAAATATCAAGATAATTTTCACGATATCGAGTATCTTGGATTTTCAAGACTGAATCTTTAAGATCGCCGTATTTTCCGGCGCCAAAAGAAAAAGAAAAAAAAAGATTAATCATGAGAGACCGTTTTACCCGTGTACCTTTTCGCTTTTTATGAAGCTAACTTTGGCTGGAAAGTAATTTCCATCGGCGTACGACTGTGTAAACGAGGAAAAAAAGGAAGAATCGTCGGAATTCCGTCGAAGGCGCCTCAGCCACTTTTCATTATACGGCTACTTTGGCAACCGCTTGTGGAGTCAAGAATATTGCGCGTGAAAACGCGTTGCCTCGAAAATCAGTTTCATTGTATTCATCTCTTCAACTCGCTCCCGTTTATTCTTTCTGTAGGTTTTCTCTATTTGTTGAACTTTTGAGCTTCCAGATGCTTTAGAATTTTGATCAAGTGACTAAGATTTAGTTACATTTCAATAAATTTTCTTACACTATTTGAAGATTTAACATTTCAAAAAGCTCTAAAAATTCGATGGTCGCATAGTATTATTATTCTTTGTGAAGTTTGGAATCAACTTTTATTGATTGGTACTGAGAGATACATTGAGAACAATTTCTGGTTGAAAATGTACGAACCAGTAGATTCTAATCATATCAATCAGAATTCTAGTCAAGATAACCAGATGTCCAATTATGATCACCGGAATTCTGATTAATGTGATCGGAATTTACTGGTTCGCTCATTTTCAGTCAGAAATTCTCCCTAATATACGTATCACGACTTTTTGTTATAAATGGTTGAGTATGAATAGTCTTTTACAAATTAAACCCCAATCAAGTGCAAATTAATAATAGGATCCTATTTATCGCTATCGGTTATTAGCCTATTTATCGCATCTGGTGAGGACATTATTTTAACAAGATTTTAATTTAGTTGCTACGAGAGAGATATCAAATACTGAAATTTGAATATCGTGTGGGTGGAACTGTTTTTTCATAATTTTTTTTCTTAAGAGAAGGTGGAATATATCTTGAAAAATTGTTTTCTTGAAAAAAAAATGATGAGAAAACGATTCCACTGTCACTGCTCGAAAAAAACATGACAGCCGATATATTCCACCTTTTCTTCTCATATCTTCATGAATTAGTTCGTAAAGACTTATATAAAATATAATTAACTTTCGACTATTACAATATATTTCAATTTTCCATCAAAATTCTATAATTTGCAATCAATATGGCATGTGCAATATCGAATATTAAATGAAAACAAATTCTCTTTGTATTTAATATCGAATAACCGATAACACCGTTCTGTGCTTTCGAAAGTGAATCGATACGCTATCGTTCTTGCAAATTTAATTGTACGTTATCAACGGGGGACGAATATCCATATATGTTTAATGTTTAATTGTATTTACACTTCGATGAAATTACCATCGTGTTCGGTTACAACACGGATAATTGAATGATCTGCGAGTAAAAATACAGTATCGCAGGGACACATATGTGGAATATATGTAGCACATACATTCATGCGCCTTATCATTTCCGTCAAAGGGAATCCTTCGACAATAGCGAATTGTCAAACAATTCGTTTAATCAGCACTAGTAGCAGCCAATTAATACGTAGTATTCACAGTAAATCTCACTTAAAGGGACAGTTGGTCTAATTAGAAATCCTCTCTCTCTAACGTATCTCCATTTAATTCACATCCCTCTTACATGCCTTCGTCGTCTTATACGCGTGACCTACTATAGAGGTAATTCCTCTATCGATTTGTAAAATGTATCCGATAGCTGCATATCTGTCGATTTACACGTATTTTCCATATTTTTAATATACTGATAAGATAATGGCATGAACAATTTATGTATACAGGGTGTTACAAAAATTATTCAGCATTTATATAGTAGATAGTACATCTACACTATGCAAGTTAAAAAAGTTTAAATGAACATAGATCGCAGATTCAACCGCTTCTGAGATATAAGCAACTTTGTATGCTTGTATCATAACTGACTTATCGCACACGAGAAATTGAGATAAGTAGCGTCTGATGATAGCCTATTTGGAAGAATTACAGGTCCAATGAGATGATTTTTCATAATGCCCATCCAATTGTAATCGCCGGTTGATTGCAACTAATTGAATCCCGGTGAAATTTTACGTTATAAAGTGTGTATGGAAATTGAATGAGAACATTAAGAACGCGGTTTGTAAACACTGAGGTAAATCTTCACGTCGCATGCGACACATAGATGTCAATAAGTCAGTTATGATACTAATAGTTATAATACAAAATTGTTTATCAGAAATAGTTGAGCTTTCAATCTATACGTTCACTAAAGCTTTTTTAATCAGTGTGATGTGTTTTATCTACCATAAATGCTGAATGATTTTTTTAATACCCTGTATATGCATATATTGGTTCAGTAACTAATTTATTCTCAGAATTTATATTTTTACAGAAGTCATTTTGGATGAAAATGAAGCACAAAAAGATGCACAATTATATAAAAATTTAAATTACTCGATAATATATAATTTAATGCGTCTTCCGTTATTATTATTAATTATTATTATGGAATATATTAAAATCAAATTGCCTTACACATCAACGTTTATTACTGTATCAAAAAGGAAAAGGATGGGATGATAAATGCCATCATGAGTAGCATAAATGCAAAGTATGTATATGTATCATATTCTGCATATATCTACATAATTATTTGAATGCCACTGAAACGCCCATAATTTTGCATTATAAAGATAAGGGCTAAAACGTTTATTGTGATTTAATTGAGCATTTAGATTAGAGATAAATATGCAAGTGTTGCCAGATTATCATTACTTTTTTGATCCGTAAATTCTTCCATGCATTTGAGAAAGATCTTTCGTAAAAGAAAAATTTAATTGATAACATTTTATTCGATCTCTGTTTCGAGTATATCATTTTTTAACGTTAAAGTTAAGTGTCTTTGGTAAATTGTGCTTAAGTTAAATTAATTAACTCGTCGCAATAAAATCTACTTAGTAATAATTGAAGATTAAGGTCTTGTTTCTGTATGCAGCCCTAAAACTCAATTTGCGAAAAGCTTCTTACATTCAATTACTTATAATTCAAAAGATACGAGAATATCTTGTAAGTTTGATCTACATTAATAAAAGAAAACGCAAATAAAGGAACAGGAGACAGTATCAAATATTTTGTATAAAAA